GCCCCTGTGCACAAAGCGAGCTCCATGAAGACATGGTGTGTGAAGGTTGGAGTGGAAGAACTCGAGTGTCCTGCACAGAGCCCTGACCTCAACCCCACTGAACACCGACTGCACCCCAGACCTCCTCGACATCCCAACATCAGCGCCTGATCTCACTAATGCTCTTGTAGCTGAATGAACACAAATCCCCACAGCCGCGCTCCAACATCTAGTGGAAAGCTTCCCAACACACACAGGGGAATAAATCTGGAATGAGACGTTCAACAAGGACATATGGGTGTGATGGTCAGGCCATATAGAGTATAGATAGGCTAATGTGATTACAACTGATATCAAATAGTTGCTCATGTGTTATAGTGGGCATGTGCCAGCCTCTTAGGAAGCAGCGCTGGGGCTCAAACCCCCGACGTTCTGATCAACAACCCAAAGCCTTAACCATTCAGCCACCATTGCTGAACAGTTGCTCATGTACTGTACTATATTTATTTGATTATTGATATCATATATAAAAAAAAATTATATGATTTTCTTTCTCCTTCCAGAAAAAAAGCAAAGCTGCTATAACACAAAACAGTGGTTGCAGAAAGATGCTATTAAATTTAAGTGGTTGATAATGTCAAAATTTTCACACATATCTTTTGAGCATCACAGAAACAGAAACTTTTAGAATATTTTACTAAGATCAAGAGTTCAAGACAGACATAGAACTCTCTCTCTCTCTCTCTCTCTCTCTCTCTCTCTCTCTCTGTCATACTCATTTTGCGCTATTTACCAGAAAACCCAAAATGTCTGAAACTGAAACTAACTTTACTGCAGCAAGAAAGACACAAAACCCCCCCGGTCATGGAACAAAAGCCGGAATAAAGCTAGTGCCAAAAACAAAATACAAAGTTAGGACCTTACTTTTTGAAAGTGATGTCATCAGGATATTCATCATATTTTGTTATTCAACGTAATGACAATCAGCTAACTGACATCACAAAAGCCCATGCCTACCCTAACCCTCTACAGCATCAACAGAGTGAGCCAGGCCATGACATTTACGTTATTGTTTTATATTTTGACTCCCTGATTTAGCACCAGGTTTTTCCAAATTTTGCATCAGAAATTGCTATAAAATGTAAATGTTATATTAGCTCATGCTGGAGCACGTTATTTACATCCATACCACAGCAGGACTGAACTCTCCAGTCTGATCTGTCAGAATGTACTGATTAATTTCCTGTCACAGCTACTTCTCAGCACCCGAGCTGGCTGTCGTTATGATCCAGTCAGCATTAGGGGAGAAAAATCTCACTTATAATGAATTATACTCAATAAGAGTTGTCATGATTAACATGCTAGATGTCTACACAGACATCTTAATTTATGAGACTTTATCACATTGTTAGTTTCATTTTCACCTTTGTGAGACTTTATTCAGCTTAATTCTTTCATTTCTTTGGGTTTGTTTTCACAGTTGTTTTCACCATGGCTACACACTGGTGAATTGTCATCTGGATATGATGGTTTAGTGAGAACTGTCATTTTACACGTGATTAGCTGATATCTCCCAAATCAGCTCCGGGAGAAAGCGATCAAAACAGCCGCAGCTCATAAATAACATGGATGTATATCCAATATATCTGTTAATGTACATGTATTTATATACCTAAGCAGATTTTTCTAGAGTCACTCATGATACACTTTTAGACATTGCTGTCAAGTTCAGCTCAGGTTATCAAACTGGACCGAATGTCTACAGAACATCACTTTAAAGGGTTAAAAATCATCCAGAACATTTTTGGTCTAAGAAAATATGAAACTATACAAAAATGTGCTCTGAGAGTGTGAATTTACAGCTGCAGTATGAGTCTAATGGAAGTGGATCAGTGTTTATCCACATGTTCATTCAGTTGGAGCTGCAGGGAACCCTTTACTGACTGTTACCCTTAACCAGCCATTACCCTTTACTAACTGTTACCCTTAACCAGCCATTACCCTTTACTGACTGTTACCCTTAACCAGCCATTACCCTTTACTGACTGTTACCCTTAACCAGCCATTACCCTTTACTAACTGTTACCCTTTACTAACTGTTACCCTTAACCAGCCATTACCCTTTACTGACTGTTACCCTTAACCAGCCATTACCCTTTACTGACTGTTACCCTTAACCAGCCATTACCCTTTACTGACTGTTACCCTTAACCAGCCATTACCCTTTACTGACTGTTACCCTTAACCAGCCATTACCCTTTACTAACTGTTACCCTTAACCAGCCATTACTCTTACCCGGATGTTACCCTTAACTGGCCCTTACTCTTAATCAGCCGTAATACTTAATCAAGGTCTCCTTCAAAAGGATTGGCATTAGAAACTCACACTGGGAGATAAAGTGATCATATTATTACCCACACTGTGCTCAGGAGAGTGGACTGATGATGCACTGCAAATACACCACCTCAAGCTTTTAAACCATGGAGAGAGGTGGTTCCTGCGAGTCTGGTGATGGTGGCTCCTGATGTAGAGGAGCTGGGACCGGAGGTGTTGAGAGCACAGGTTGCAGGAGGAATTTTCTGATGTGTTTTCACCTCTTCCTGTTCCCAGTCTCACACACCTCACAGAACACCCCATTAAGACTCCTGTAGGTGTGATGGTATGCGGACGGCCTGCCAGTTACCTGAGAGCAAACTCATAGAGCAAACTCCAAGAGTCTCCAAGATGGCGGTGCTGTTGGTGTCTGTCTTAAACTCAAAAAGACATCAACTGTTAATTTCAAAGATTCAACAGATAATCAGCCATTTCATCTGCTTTATAGCATGAGCTAACGTAAACCTGTGTATATGTGCAATGCTTGAGACGTGTTATATGCCATGTGGTTAATCAGTAAGAACTTTATGGGTAAAAATGTCTTTATGGGTAAAAATATCTTCATACAGTCTTTACACATTTGTTCTTCATGTCAGTGACATGTCGAGCCCTGCTCTGGATCTGGATAATACATTATCAGTCAGTAAATGTGTATTTTGTTTTTACACTGAACTAAAACTTGGTATTTTTATGTCCTACATCGGTGTCAGTATGTTTTGTAATTATCCAGTGTATGTGTTTAGATATGTGTGTAGTAGAATGTAACAGGGAGGCCACTCCATGCAGGGTTTGAACATTTACTTACTCTGAGAGCTTGAGAGTTGGTTGGAGAAGCCACAGACATTAGCAGGAGAATATTTCTAAAGTGTAGAAGCTGAGACTTGAGCCCCAGCACGGCGCGAGTTTGACTCCACACTGAGCAGTGAATGAGTGCAGAGCTCTCCTTAAACAGACCCAGGTACAGGTGGAGCTGATTATCACTGATTATAACGAACACAGTGCTCTCTGCCTCCCTCTAGTGATGGCACGAGGCTCAGCCAGATTCCTCCTACAGTAGAAATAACAGACTGATATGGCAGCGATGCATCACGCTTGCTTGGCCAACCATGCAGAGTCAGTTCATATACTTTACACAGGATTGGGCCATGAGATGTTTCTCGCTTGATTTCATCACTGGTGACAGGTAACAGGTCGACAGATCCATTTTCCTCTTTTGCAGGTGCTAATTCCAGTGAAAGCCAGGAAGGGCTGTCAGCATTTTCAGTGCTGTTGTGTGAACAAGGCCCATCTCTGCAGTCACACTGCCACCATAGCTGGGGCACCTTTTCTAGGGTTGAAAATTGGGAGCAAAAGCTGATGATCAGTAATCAGAGTGAAATGTCTGCCATATAAAAACTGATTGAATTTCTTGACCCCACAGACCAGACTCAGTGCTTCTCTATCTATTCGGGCATAATTTCTCTCAGCTGTAGTTCAGGACCTGGAGGCAAAGGCAATGGGGTGCGCCGTTCTTTCTGGATATTCTTGAGACGACACTGCAGTGATCCCATAAGGGCATGCGTCACATGCAAGATTTGAGAGCTGAATTAGGGTCAGAGCTTATGAGGACACTGTCTGAGGTTACAAATTGTTCTGCTTCTTGGAAAGCACTTTCACATTGCTTGGACCAGTGCCACTTCCTTCCAGCCTGTAGCACACAATTTAGTGACTACAGACAAGACGACAATTTGGGTGGAAATTTCGGATGTTACCCTTAACTGGTGGCGGTGCTGTTGGTGTCTGCACCTTTTTAGAATCCGCCCAGCTAAAAACGACTTCATAAAATATATCAGAAAAGCATCAACATAAAGCTTCATCACTGGTACTGATGAGCGTTTTAGCTGATCTCTGAAAACCTGATAAAGAGATGTACACACATGCGAATATGATAAAACTTATAGCAGTAATGGATATATTTTATATTAATAAATGTAAATATTTAGGTAAGATGCCATGTTTTGTTTCATTTAAAAGAATAATTTTAAAAAGCCTACACTTTCTGATATGCGCTAAAAACAGAACAGCGCCTCCTGCTGGACAATGCGGTTAAAACCTTGTGTATGGAGTATATTATAGTAAATACACCAAGTCGATGTTTTTAACACTTTACACTTTAAACTTTATTTTTTGTTAAACCTTCACACACGATTAAAATCAGAGCTGTGACACGATCAGTAGACTTTGTGTCTCCATAGTGTGTGTGTGTGTGTGTGT